AGGACGCTACTAGGGGCTCCTGGCCTTACTACTAGGAGCAAGGACGCCACTAGGGGCTTCTGGCCTTACTACTAGGAGCAAGGACGCTACCAGGGGCTCCTGGCCTCACTACTAGGAGCAAGGACACTACTAGGGGCTCCTGGCCTTACTACTAGGGGCTCCTGGCCTTACTCCTGGGAGCAAGGACGCTACTAGGGGCTCCTGGCCTTACTCCTGGGAGCAAGGACGCTACTAGGGGCTCTTGGCCTTACTACTTACTAGGAGCAAGGACGCTACCTTGCGCCTAGGGGCTTCTGGCCTCACTACTAGGAGCAAGGACGCTACTAGGGGCTCCTGGACATACTACTAGGAGCAAGGACGCTACTAGGGGCTCCTGGACATACTACTAGGAGCAAGGACGCTACTAGGGGCTCCTGGACATACTACTAGGAGCAAGGACGCTGCTAGGGGCTCCTGGCCTTACTACTAGGAGCACGGACGCTACTAGGGGCTCCTGGCATCGCTACTAGGAGCATTCTTACGGTGGCAACTTTTTGTTGATGCTCCTAAGCCTAGGTCTCCGGTGATGTTGAACTCATTGCTTGACCCATTTCGTCAGTGGTGGTACTGCTTCTAAGACAGCGCACCAGAGCTTTTCAGCTTGCACTCACCTTTGAAAGTTTCTTCTTCGCTTGTCGCTTGGTTGTTTTGCCTCTTTTTGATGATGCGTCATCCGCACCCGTCATTCTTGTTTGATTGCCCACATCGCCTTTGCTACATTACTTTAACTTGGTTGACGATGTCCAAGGCAGCTAACGAGGCCAGCAAGGAGGAGAAAGCATTGGAAGCAGCGCTGAACCCTTTGCAGGCTAGTTTCTGTATATATAGTAGAGAGAGGAAACCGTGAAGAATTGAGCAAGGTCGAAGAGAGTCTTTTTCTGAGCACTATGAGTCACACGATGGCATTTTTCGGCACCTGTCTCCCTTCAGAGGAGCGGACATGGATGGTACCTAGTGGCCAGATGTGGATCTTAGTCGGGCGGTCAAATTCGAGACTCCATCGATTCTTCAGTAGGCCAGATGGCCAACAACTCAGATGAAAGAGCGACAGGCAAAGGCAGGGGAACAATTGTGTTTGGGCAAGGCCGTCATGCTTGGCACAGCATGTTTCGTTTGCTGTTCGCTCTTGTGCCTATTGGATGCTTGTTGGCCTCAGCTTCGATTGCTCAAACTTGCGGTAGCGAACCGATCTGCCTGCCTTTGTAACCATTCAAGGTTGGGCGCTCGAAAGGATCATGAGCTGAGCCACTGGGGTCATGCGACGAAAGAGCTGTCTACTCTTGGGCTGCTTGAACTGCTTGACCTTTGGTGGATTCGCATTGGAGTGGGGCCAAGCTTTGTCCCTGGACACCGTTCTGTCCACCTCCACCAATTTGCAGCTTCTGCAAGCAGGGAAAGAGTACCATCCGTCTCACCTGGATGAGCGGAGATTGCATAGTGCGAAAGCTCGAGCCTCTTTGGACTCCTTTGGACTCCCAACCTTGGAGTTCGATGAGGTCACCAGAACTCATTCAAGTCACAAGCTGAAGGGAGAACTGCTTGAGGAGGCTGCAATGGCAGCAGCTGCACTGGCAGTGAGAGAAGAGGCCAAGGCGGCCCGCGCGGTCGGCGGAGGAGAACCCGCCCGGCTCTTGGCATCCACGCACCTGAAGAGCCATGCGGAGCGATCGGCCAGACATTTGATCTCACGCTTCGAGGTGATCAACGAGGAAGCCAATGAGTCTCACACCAACAGCAGTTCCCCAAGGATCGTGAATCAAAGTTCGCCCTGGACAAATCCACAAGGAGTCAATCCCTTCAATCCATTCAGCAACCCGTTCTTCAACCCTTTCACCCCAAACCCCTACACGCCCTTGCACACAGGCGGAGGGCGTGGCAGCAACCTACTCTTCATTTTGTTTGTCTTCATCCTTGCAGCTGCAGGCTGTGCAGTAGCTTGTGGTGGGGTGTGGGAGGATGATGACGATATCAGCAGTGGTGACGAGAGCCATCTGGGTTTGATGGGGCTCAACGCCGACGCCCGGCGTGGGCGGGAGAACATCAAGCGGAAGGTGCAGCCAGCGGAGAAAAGTCGTGGATGCTTGAGCTGGTTGTCTTGCTGCGGCTGTTGCAGGTATTGTTCCAAGACAGTGATCTTGTTCACTCTTGGAGCCATGCTGTTAACATTCCTAGGTGGCAAGATCTTGTGGAACAGCGGCATCCTGCAGCCTCTACTGGCGCAGCTGTTGCTGTATGCCTACGTGATCCTCATCATCTTGGGCTTTGCCGTGGTCATTACCCACGAGCTCACCCGGAAGATCCGGCGCACCGTGGACAGCATCTACCGGAGCCTGGTCGATTTCCAAGACGTGATGCCCCACTGGTTGAAGAATCGAAAGGAGGCTTCCCCTTACTACTGAGCGCTTGACACTCTTGACACTCTTGACACTGCAAAAAGGAGGGTGTGGCAAAAAGGGCACCTGCAAAGCACTGAAAGCCTGCGCAGGTGGTTAGCGAAGCGGAAATCTGAACTCTTGTTAGTCAAGCCAAGCTTCTAAACTTGCTGTCTTCTTCGTTGGGTCTTTTGGTGGTAGTTATCTGACTTCAACAGTCTTTGTGGTTCTTTTGCTGACCCATGATAGTCATTGATGGTCCTTGCTCTGGTGAAGCTCTCACGAGTCACGAGAGGCCAGCAAGGAGATCGACAATGCCCTGGCAGAGATGCGAATGAGTATCAACGATGCCAGGAGGCCGAATGCCACAAACCATCTGCCAGAGTCGACAGGAAGCTTGGCGCTACTCTCCACGCACCAAAAACAGAAGCACCAGGAGTGCACCAGGCACCAGGAGTGTTGAACAAACCAGAATGAGCGAGCTAGCCCCGGCCTGATCCGAGCGGCGTCGGGGCACGTCGTGAGCGAGCAGGCATCGCAGTGGCGAGGAGCGCCGTGCGCTCAACGAGCTGCGGAAGGTGGCGGAGGAGCTGAGTCTACCAAACAATTAAAGACATTGACATGTTGTTGAGTGTATTTTGTTGGAGGATAGGCATCCAGACGATGGGAAGCATGAAGATGCACGACAAAGCAAACAGGTTCTCACAATTGAGTGCCCTTATCATCCCTTATCATCCTTCTCCAGCCATGCCGCAGTTTCTTGGGTGCTTTGTTGGGGAATCAGCGACACGCGGATTGGGTTGTAGTTGAGATGTTCTGAAGCACCAAAAACATAGTTATTATGACTTATCCCATGCCATTGCATTCATTCGCGCTTGTTCATTTTGTGTTTGTAGATATGGGATACGGTTTATGTTCTTGCTCGGGAAGAGGTGGTGTCAAGTACAGTAAGCATTGGCGCGGGCAGGACGTAGTGGAGCGTGTCCAGAAGGCTGGTGCTGAAAACCATCCAAAATTGTTTCATTGGACATTCAGAAGCTCGACTGTAAGATCTGTAAGGGTTTACAATTGTGTATGATAGTGTAAGCAGAAAAGTTTCCAAGAGAGAATCTCCTTAAGGTAGAGTTTGCTGAGTTCCCAGGTTGTGGATGACGCGGGTGCTCGCCACAGCAAGGATGCCAAGGACTGTTTGAATTGCATGTTTGTTGCCAATGTTTGCCCCATGTCCTTCCTTTGCCTTTACCTCCATAGACCTTGCACACCATTGCAGACCTTCTGATGGGCTCATGATCAGCTGCAAATCTCGTCGAGGAAAGGCAACGGAGCACCATCGCAGCCTTTCATTTGCTTCCTTTCACCGCCAAGTTGCGAATCCTGGTGGCAGAAAAGGCCTGTTGTTTGGGAAGAGTGCGGCAGCGAGATTCAGAAGCCACTTCGTTTGTTGGGCGTATACTTATTTTACCATATTTTACCAGTAGTGTAAGTTTCGAGTTGGGGATTTGACTCCAGTTCGAGCCACGATGTCAGGCTTTGGCGCTCACACTCCTGGGTGGTGCCTTTACGGTCGGGTCCACCGTGGTGCTATGTATTTGCCTGGAGGCCATTTGGCAAAAAGCAATGATAAGTTGCTACAGAGAGAAAAGTCGGTCGTGAGAGTTTCTACTTGTTGAAGGGCTTTGGATTGTGCATTTGCATGTCCCAAACATTTCACTCAAAGCACATCCAAGCATTGCTTTTTGAAGCATATATTTTGGCTGATAAATATACTCCTAGACCATGACCAAGAGCAGAAAAGCTGCCTCTCTTAGCATCACTTCACCCTTTCAAGTCACTAACATTCCATTCAGAGAAGCTTGCTATGAGTATCTCAAAAGAGCCTTGAGCCCCGTGAACCGTGATGCCCCATAAGAGCCTTCCCTGCGCTGAGATCTTCTCTGCCTGGTCCTGTCGGCTGCAGTGTTGAAAAAAGATGCTGCTGCAAAAAGGGCGGGTTGATCATGTTTGATCCTATCTATATATCCAGATGCAGGATGGACCCAGTTTTGCTTCTGCTCCGGTAGCCGCAAAAAGCACCAGTGTCCTCAACGAAAAACGCATGCAGTGGACGGAAAAAAGCCACTGTTGCGACATAACCGTGAGCTGTTGAAAGTTTGTCAAAGTGTAGCTTCTCGCAAGTGCTTCAAACAGGGTCGCCTATGTTCGCCTGTTCCTCGTTATATAAATACCTCCTCAGGCGCTACGAGTCGGGCTCGAGACAGCAGAGTGAGATGATTGATTCAAGTGGCTGCATATGACAACATGGCTTGATGGTACTTAGCTACAAGTTTCCAGATTTGTCAATAGCAATCTTTTGGGATAGAAAGTGGATCCATTTGGCATTGGTTGCCAAAGTGAAGTTCTGCCACAGCACCAGACACCCAATCAACGCTCATTTGGGCTCATGGCATGGAGGCCTTGGCCAAGCGGGTTGGCCGCTTCGAGGCCGAGCTGGACGCCCTCCGCCGCGAGGCACGGATGCTTTTGCGCTTAGGAATTCATCTCAGTCCTCAGTCATTAGATGTCATTATATATATAGCCCAATCTCGTCATGTATGGATTGGAGATATCCTAGTCTTGGATGGCAGGTCCTGCAGCTGCAAGGACCACATCCCTCGAAGCCAAGCTCTGATGCGCAGGTCAGATCAGTTAGGATGAGATTGTTTTGAAGTCTTGGAGGTGGTGTTGCTTGGAGTCCTGTTTCAGACATACAGTATCAGATTTGCCCTTTGTGTGTTGCTGCTTTTGTTGGAGAAGACATGTGAGGGCAGGATCTACTTTGGCCCTTGCTGGACTTCGCGATGTGTCCGTGGTTGTTTTTGGCAAACCTCCCATTGCACCGTTTCATGGGTTTAGTGGTTTCATGAAACTCGACCAGGAACCTGGTGATATGTTCGTTTCGAAAAAGCCTGGCTAAGTCATGCTAAGTCTGGTTATTTGTTCTTTGTGTAAAACAATGTTTCCTCGATTCCTTATTGTTGTGTATTCTCTTTAATACAGAGGCCCATGAGTGATTCTCCATATTCTCGCGGGGCGTTTCTATCTTGTGAATCTCGTGAATCGCGAAGACTCATTTGATGATTTGTGCGTCAGACTAGTCTATCCCAAATGTGTGGCCCATCAAATGTTTTGGAACAGCAATGCCCGTGACCCGCATAATATATAGTCGCATATATATATATATATATACATGAACCTAAGACACACTTGGCTAAGAGGCTATAGCCAGAACCCTGCCCAAATTTGCATCACCCACACGGCCCACACGACCCCAATTTGGACAGTTTCAGGCCTCAGAGTTGCAGCTGCAATGGGTTCGGCTCTTTGAGAAGGAGTTGGAGCGGCTTCGGCGCCTTTCAGAGTCCTACGAGGATCTCTGGGTCGTGAGTATCCAAGGGATAGCGGCCAGGAGTGGATTGTTATAACGTTTTATCCACTCGTGCAAAATTGCCGTTTTCTTAAGCCCGCTCCTGCTTAATTGTATTAGTAATTAAGCGCCTACTCAATTAAGAGAGTAAGCTTCTAGTTACTTAAGCACTACCTATTGGATGCAGGATAGCTCACGCTCACAGAGATTTCATCACAAAGAGGCTCAACTCAAGGCACGTGGCCGGCAAAGGAGCCCTTTTCTGTTCTGGAACATCGCTTGTCGCGTTTGGAGAGCGTTGCACCTTGGCCCAGATGGCAACCATTGGGGAGGGGCTCGGCAGAGCACATTTGATATATCGAAACATGCATACGTTAAATTGTGTGATATCGCGGTGGCGTGCCTTCAGGAGTTCTCTTTTACCCATTCCTGGCAGCCAATGAAGATCGAACTCGTTGCCGGAAAATACGCCATGCGATGAAGACATATGAAATTGAATGAAATTGAAGTTGATTTGGTTTGCTTTGAAATGCTACGTAAGCCGGAGGCTTTGGTTGTAGTTGCCGCAAGAATGTGACATCAGGATTGCCACTAGACTTAACACTAGACCACCTTTTTGAGTTGTACTAACTTCCAACGTGGATACATTCTTGATCCAATGACCATTTGAAAGTGGAAGCACCCAAACAGACCCAAACCAATGAAGGTCAAGGTCAGTTCGGCGGGATTGTTGTGGAAGCCCCAACTCGACTCAAGGCGCTACCCGAGTCGGGGCGCGACCTGGACGAGCTCGCGGAGCTGGTGCTGTCGGAGCTCCATGACTTGCAGCAGAAGGCTGGGGACATATGAACGTGCTGTTTTGGTTCCGAAGGGCCTAAACACTGGGCCTAAACATTTGCCAATCGATCCTAGGCCGTTGGAGCCAGATGTAGATGGGTTTTTTACAGAACTTTCCTGGATTCCCAGTGGTACCATGTTTCTGGCAGAATATGTTTTGGTGTCTACTTGGAAGGTCCGTCAGTTGGGAACATCCAGCCAGCAGCGGCAGGTGTGGGTGCCAGGACTGGATTTTATAACGATATGACAGGGCTTGAGTAGCACCATGATGTTCTGCAGAAAGAACAGGTCCATGTAAGACATGCCAAGGAGTGCAAACCAAGCATGATGGCAATGAGGACAAGTGACACATCCCTCCTTGGCAAGAGAGGACGATGTGCTGCGGGTAGCGGCCAGGGAAACCAACGAGCGAAAAGACGCTCCCAGCTGAGGCAGGTGTGGCTCTACATGCCGGCCACATGCGCGCAAGCACACAGCCGCTGAAGCTCACAGAAGGCAGTGTTGGCAGTCTCCAGAACAAGATGAGGAATGTGTGGGGAGAGCCTTTATATATATATATATATGGAGCTTTACACTTGTCCTTCCCAAGGCGAATTCCTGAAGCACCTGAAGTTTCGGTCTTTTGTGTTTCGATCAGCATCAATGCCCATAATCGATCGATCAGGTATGACAAGAGACTTAGCAGAGAGGCACACATTGTAATGCTGCAGTGCTAATCTGATGGAGCACAAAGTCTTTTTTTGGACTATATAAGTATAAGAATATATAGCCTATATAAGATAACTATTTTCCATGCGTGTCTTTTCTGCAGTCGTTTGTCATTTGAGCGGCGCAGCG